CATACTCAGCAACCAGCGTAGCCATCTTCAGCGTACATCTAATCAACTAAAATCTCCCATCATAGAAGCCAAAACAGACTGTAGCTGTTAGTGCTTCTGAAGGGGAAAAAGGCATTCTTTATTTCCTCCTGAAGGAAGTGTTTAACTTTAAAAGATCTTTTTTTTTAACAGCAGAAGCATAAAGGATATTGCAATGTATTGGAATTCAGCACAAACCTGACCAATTTAGAAATGGATGAGGATGTGATCTCATGGTGGATGGAGACATCTAGAGGCAACTGGAAACATTATAGGATGAAAAGAGTATGCTTAATAGGTTTGAAGGAACTTTGAGTACAAATGATCATCAGTTCATGGAAAGCACCCTGATCAGTGAAGGGACATACAGTAAATAAAGGCAGATAAGAATAGGCTTGGGTTGCTTAAGGTGGTAAATCCAAGCTACTCCCTGTAGTTAAAAAAATACAGGTTAAGTTTCCCTTAGCCAGAATTCTGAAATCCAGAATACTCCAAAAACCAAAGCTTTTTTTGATGGGTGGCTGAAATAGTGACACCTTTGCTTTCGGATGGTTCAATGTACACAAACTTTGTTCCACATACAAAATTATTTCAATTAGGTAAAATAATTACCTTCAGGCTATGAGTATAAGGTGTGTTGTTGTTGTTGTTGTTGTTGTTGTTGTTGTTGTTGTTGTGTGCCTTCAAGTCATTTCCAATTTATGGCAATCCTAAGGCAAATCTATCACAAGGCTTTCTTGATAAGTTTCTTCAGAAAGGGCTTTCCCTTGCCTTCCTCTGAGGCTGAGAGAGTGTGACTTGCCCAGGGTCACCCAGTGGGTTACATGGTATATATGAAACACAAATTAATTTTATGTTTATATACTTGGGTCCCATCTCCAGGATATATCATTATGTACATATATGAAAATGCAGGTTTCCCAAAGTCCTAATAATAATAATAATAATAATAATAATAATAAATTTAAAAATCTGAAATCCAAGTCCAAAGCATTTCAGACAAAGGAGACTCAACCTGTATATAATCATTAAAGGTGCTAACCAGGGGCCCATTCACACTACAAAATTGTAGCACTTTATTCCACCCTATGAGACTTTGGGATTGATAGTCTGGTGAGGCACTAGAAGTCTCTGGCTGAGAATTCCAAATGATCCTCTCTAAACTGCCAATCCCAGGATTCCATAGGGTGGAACCATGGGAGCTAGAGTGGAATTATAGCACTATAATCTGTCATGTGAATGGTCTCCAACTTTTAAGAGGAGGTTAATCTCCTATGTTTCAACTGACTGATTACTTCAGTTTAAATCAGAGCTTGAGAAAAATCACTTTTTTTTTGTTACTACACCTCCCCAAATGCTTGCTAGAGGATCCTGGAACTTGTAGTCCCCAAAGTAACATTTCCAAGCACTAGTTTAAATATATTATGTAGCATCAAAACTTCAATACACATGTCTTTTTCTGAAAGAAGTAGGAAAGCAGACAATATTATTAGCTAAGTCAAAGTAGGTCTGACTTTTCAACATACTGTATTTCTACTGACCACACAAACAAGACTGACCTTCTCATGGTAGGCATAGTTGAATTTAGAGGAGATGGACTGAATTCAATAGGAAGCTAATCTTTAATAACATAAGTCTCACTGATTTTATTGGGTCTACTGTAAGTATAGAACCAGCATACTCTAGAGGTTTTATTTTTGGAATGGCCAGGGTTCAGATCTCTACTCAGTCATAGAAACATACTGGGGCTGCATCCCCACTGCAGAACTATTCCAGTTTGACACCACTTTAATGGCCATGGCTCAATGCTATGGAATTATGTGGATTGTACTTCATAGTGGCACCAGAGCTCTCTGAAAGAGTAGGCTAAAGTCCTGACAAAACTACAGTCCCCAGAATTCCATAGCATTGAGCCATGGCCATTAAAGTGGTGTCAAACTGGAATATTTCTGTAGTGCAGATGCAGCCTGAGTGATTTTGCGCAAATTACACTCTTCTCTCAGCCATACAGGAAGGCAATGGTAATGTTTCTCTGAACAAATCTTTTCAAGAAATCCCTAGGATTTCATACAGTCACGATAAGTTGAAGGACACACAACCAGTTGCATCATTCGGGGAGTACAGGGGTCCCTACCTCACCAGATGAGACCCTAAGGGGGTGTGTGTGCCTACCTTTTGGCAGAAACAGGCTGTGGCATTCACCTGATTCCCTTTAAAATGCTTTAAGAGATGGTGGGAGTGATATTACACCACAAAAGATAGCTATTATGCAAGTTTACATATAGTCCTCCAAGGCTATTTGTTACTTATGTATTGTTTGTTTTGTACTGTTGTTATAAAACACATAAAAATACTTAATTATAAGAGATGGTGGGAGTGGGGTGAAGTTTAGTGGGAGGAGAATGGACAAGTCCCAGAATTTTTAAAATTCCAATTTTAAATTTCAAAATTTTAAATTTAATTTTGTTTACAAATTTAATTAAAATATTATTTTAAAATTTTCTTTAAAAGCATGACATTTTAGCCAAATCTTCCCTATGTATATGTAAATACATTTAGGTTGTGCATATGATATTGTAATTTGAAGGTATCATTTTAATTTTGCTAGTTGTTTATGTCACAACTATTGGCAATACATTTAGTGGTATATGAGAATTGTGATTTACGAGTAATATTAGTGCAGAAAAGCATTACTGGGGAGTCTGTATGGTGTGAAACAGGAGAGTGACACCATGAGTTACTGCACTGGGTGACACTAACCCTAGTGATGCCACTGCACACAACAACATAATTGTAAGTAAACAGGGACCCAGCCCAAATTTTACATGTATTTTAAATGCACAAAACATAGCGATAACAGCCTCACAAAGAACTTTGTTTTCAGGTTCATATGGACCTAACTACTCGATCAGCTGAATTTTATCCTACAAGCTTGTGAATGTTAAGATCAGGGCTGGTGAAGATGTGGATCTCCAGAGTTTGTTGGATTGCAGCTCTTCATGATAGGCCATGGTGGTTGGGCTGATGGGAGTAATAAAAAAAAAAATCTGGAAGAAAGATACAGTGCACATCCATAGCAAATAATTCCTTCACCTTGTCCAAAGATCTGAATGATGGATATACAGATTAAGAACGTGACGTTTTGTGGACATATTTTTTTATTAAGGTTATTTTCGAATCAAACAATTTATTTGATAATATGAATTCAACAGCCAGAGTGAAAAGAGACAGATGATGACTCATAGTGTCAGACTTTTAAAGTGAATCTCTCTATATATATATTCATATGTAAGTATGAATTTATTGTGCTGGATGTCAAAACATTTCACAGATCTGAATGAGTTTGCATGGAAAAGAGATTCATTTTTGGGGGGGGGGGGTGGATCTTTTTTTTGGTTATCTTTCTGACCAGATAAATGTTCATGAAGAAAAGCATATCCTGCTGCAGAAATCCCATAAAATAGAATATAAACCAAATTAGACAGTTTGGCTTTTTGTAGTAAATTGCCTGTGGTTTAAGCAGTCCTTGAACAAAGTTTTGACTTAGTTCCATGAATTATTCTCTGTTGCTAACTAGGATATAAACATGTTGCTGTGATACTTTACATATCACTTCAGGCTGGCCATTTGACATTGTCATGTGCAAGATGAGTGGACTGGTCCAAGGGATGTCTGTTTCAGCTTCGGTCTTCACTCTGGTGGCCATTGCAGTGGAAAGGTAAGTCTGCATCTCCAGTTCAGCTTTATTTTTCTTGGTTTGCATTCAGGAAATGTATGAATCATAGACATTTTTATATAATGGACCCAATGGAGTTGTCTCATCTCAAAAGTTGATAGGACTAGAATCAACTGCCCATAGTTCCTGGAGTGGTTTCCAGCAACTTGGCAAGAGTGAGGGATTGGGAGTTGGGAGAACCAAGTCCAAATTCCCATTCAGCCACAAAGCAACCTTGGCCAGTAATTCTCAACATAGTTTTGAGTTACTGGACTCACAGGACTATTGTGAAGATAAAATGAGAAGACAAGCCATGTATGTCATTTTGAGCTCATTGGAGGAAAGGCAGTGGGATATAGATGTGATAGACAGATACATTCCCAGATAGTTCGCTAAAATAAAGAGAACTCTTGGAGTGATGCAACCAAGAGTGAATTTATTTAAGAAAGGACTCAGACGAGTCCTGACCCTGATGATAAATTATACCCTAGTCCTTAATAAGAGTATGAAATATCACCCACACTATCACCATTTTGCATCTGACTCTGGTTGGCAAATCTCAAGGTCCTGACTCATTATGATCAGTTGTCCAGTTGTTAATCTCTTCAGCACAGTCCCTTATCTAAGGAGGTCTGTTTGATGGTTAAACAGGAAAAGGCTTTCCTTCTGTGTAGCTCTCAGATTGTGGGATGCAATCCATTCTCACTGTCACTCCTTTGGAAAGTGTATAAAGACAGATTTTTTAATCTGGCCTTTTGAAATTTTTGCATGATTGAGCTGATTTTAATGCTTTGGTTCTTAATTTATTTTGAGTGATATTTGTTATCAAATCTATAAAATAAATGGAGAGAGAGAGATTGATCCACCAGTTCCCACCAAGTCTAAAGACATCTCGTGCAGAGCTTTGAAAAGTTACCTTTTCGTATTACAACATTCAAAAACCCATGATCAGTGGCCATGCCGACTGGGGGATTTGGATGTGTTGTAGTCTAAAAAAGTAACTTTTCAAAGCTTTGTTCCTGGGTTAGATCTAACCCAATGTTATCTTCTCCAATTGTAAGTAGATGGAGACTGACCTTGGAAAGAAGTTTCCCCATCCTTGCTTTGTTGTTGTTGTATGCCTTCAAGTTGTTTCTGACTTATGGCAACCCTAAGGCAAACCTATCATGGGATTTTCATGGAAAGTTTCATCAGAGGGGATTTGTCATTCCCATCCTCTGAGGCTGAGAGAATGTGACTTGCCCAAGGTCACCCAGTGGATTTACATGGCCAAGCCAGGATTCGAACCCTGATCTCCAGAGTCGCAATCCAATGTGCAAACCACTACACCATGCTGGCTCCTTGTTACCTTGATACAAAATTCACAAACCTGGCCCTAAGTCTGTCTGTTAAACCCAACTAGAGTAGATTGCCAGATGTCCAAGTGAAATTCAGAAAAAGAAGAGGTACTAGGGATCATATAGCAAACATATGCTGGATAAAATAATGTACTAAGGAATTTCAAAGGAAGATCACCCTGTGCTTTTTAGACTATTATAAATCATTTGATTGTATAAATCATGAGAAATCATGAATCACTTTTAAAGAGATAGGTGTACCCACAACACTTGATAGTCCTGGTGTGTAATCTATACTCAGGACAAGAGGCTGCTGTTAGGGCAGAATACGGAGAAATTGAATGATTTCCAAATGGAAAAGTGTTTAGGCAAGACTGTATTCTATCACCTTATCTGTTTCATTTGTATGCTGAAAACATCATATGAAAAGCACCATTAGATTAGATTTAGAAGAAGGAGATGTCAAAATTGGAGGAAGGAACATCAACAATGTAAGATATGCACATGACACCATACTCCTAGCAGAAAATATCAGAGATTTTGAAAGATTATTGAATAAAGTCAAGGCAGAATGCTCAAAGGCAAGTTTACAGCTGAACATCAAGAAAACAAAAATTATAACATTGACGATCTGCATAAATTTAAAGCAGACTATAAATAGATTGAAATAGTTCAAGATTTCCCATACTTGGGCTCAGTTATCAATCAGAGTGGAGACTGCAGTCAATAAATCAGAAGAAGACTTAATAAATAATAATAATAAATTTTATTTCTATCCCGCCCCTCTGCAGCGCAAGACTTGGACTTGTAAGGGCAGCTATGAGGAAACTAGATAAGACCCTGAAATGTAAAGATATATATATAATTATATACTAAAATTAGGATTGTCCATGCCATCATATCTTCCATTTCTATGTATGGGTGTGATAACTAGACAGCGATGAAAGCCGATAGGAAGAAAATCAACTAATCTGAGATGTAGTGCTGGAGAAGAGTTCTGTGAACACTGTGGACTGCTAAAAAGACCAATAAATGGTTCCTAGAGCAAATCAGGCTCAAACTCTCTCTAGAAGCAAAGATGACTAAAATGAGGTTGTCATATTTTGACCATATCACATTTAAATTAAAGACAATAACTGGAAAAGAGGAAGACTGTATACCAAATGGATAGATTCAGTCAGAGGAACCATAGCCATGAACCTGCAAGAGCTGAGCAAGGCAGTTGAGTATAGGGCAGGGATGGGCAACTTCTTGAGCTTGGTGTGTCAAACCTTGCCAAAAAAACTGAGCATAACTCGGGTGGTGTGTCACTTTGAGGAAAAAACATTATTTCGCTGCCGGGAGAGGAGGGACTGGCCTAAATACCTTGGCCTCAGCCTCTTCCCAGCCCTGTGCTGGTGGTGCCGCTGCGCCCGAAGTCCCAGAACTAGACGCTCTGTGCTGGACTTCTGTTGTTTTGGCCTACAGACCTCCGGCACAGAGTGTCTAATAGGGGAGGATGAAACATTTGCGACTAGAGTCTTAGAGTTAAGAGTCTAACTCTAAGACTCTAGTCGCAAATGTTTCATCCTCAGGAGCAGCAAATGTTTCATCCTCGTCGACTGCACTTGGCTGTGCAGGAGCCGAGGATGAAATATCCTTCTCGGCATGCGGCCGCCTCAGCAGACGCTTGTCATAAAAAATGGCTACACATGTCAGTGCTGACATGCGTGTCGTAGGTTCGCCATTACTGGTATAGGGTGACTTGGAGGTCTCTCATTTATTGGGGCCACCATGGGCTGAAGTCGAACCCGAAGGCACTTAACAACAAGAATAAACTCATGAAATGGTTGAAAACACTGTTAAGTCAACATTTTTTTTAATAAAGTTTATTAGTTTAAAAAAACACAAAAGTATACATATGCATACATACGTATATACAAACATACAAACAAACATAAATTAACACACAACAGAAAAAAAAACCCAGCACCTAGCTTATACATATAACACATACCGCCTAATCAAAAACTATTTCCCTTACAAATTAAAAATCTACTTCCTGAACCAGGACTAAGATCTTAACCGATATTATGTCTCACCCTCCTGTATTTATGCCATTAAGCTATGGGCCATTTCTCCCTATTATAAAAAAATAAAAGGACAAATGCATACAGAGTTGGTTAAGTCAACATTTATGAAAGTGCCATTGATTCAACAGGTTTATTGTGATTAAGATTAAGAATAAAATGAGATTTAGATTCATCCATATTGGAAACATGTCCTCCATCATTAAGAAATGGTTCTCTAGTCTAATAGTCTGGAATATCACAACTTCCAACTCCTGCAGGTAAATAAACAACAACTCCATATTCTGTGTAAATAAAAGTGAACAATTTGCTGTATTAAAAAAAAAAGGAGGGGAGACTTATGTTATATTTATTTGCTGGTGATAACAGGTGCAGCGCTAGCAGCCATATTCTGCTCCCTGTGTTTTTGTCATATCATGCCAGTTTCTAGACAACTGTGCCATTTTCAGTTTGGCTTTATATCTGTAGTCTAAATTGTGGTTTGTTTGTTTTTGTCTTTTTAAAAACTGTCTCTAATTCCAATTGCCTGGAGTCCAGTTTGATCCAATATGCCTGTATGTGAAGAAGAATGGAAAGATTAAGAGTTCAAATTGAAATGAAGGGCAGGATATTAAATTTTAATAAAGATCTATCCAGGGTGGCTGTAGGATATTAGAATAGCCAACATTTCTCAGCAGCTAAAATTACACAGTGAAAGAACACTTGGACAAATCTCCAGAAAGTGTTTACCAATCGTCTGCAAAGGAAATAAAGTTTTAAAATTTCTGGCCCACTTTAGCAGCCATATGCCAGTGAACACAAAGTGACCACTCATATGTCTTGGCTTAAATTGTTCCCAGAAAAAATCATCTTCATCAGCTATGGAAAAGTTTGGAATGGTATATTTTCTTTAAAAAGTGAAACATTTGAACCATGTATTATTAACGTATCATATTTTTTTAAAAAAACTGTTACCTTCTATGTAAGCTGACTCTTACATTTAAGACATAATACATTTTTTAAAAAATCTTGCAAGCCTCTCTGGATACTTCGGTAGAAAGATAGGATATAATAAAAATGGTTGGAATCTTCTATGCACTATGTTGGTACATAACCACAACAGATATGTAACTAAGTAGTGAATTGCGGCCCGACCTCTTCATCCCTATTTACTGATCAGCAACCTCTGTGAGTGCTGAGATCTGTTCCCCTGTTCAGAAAGTTGATGTCTAATGCACCCCTTCCCTCGTGTGAGCAATCTCTATCACAATAGGCAGAAACAGTCACAATCCTCCCTCACTGGAGACATCACTCACGAAGAGGTGGGAGAGTCAGTCAGCCGCTTCCTGAGTGACAAGGGAACAGACCCTTGCCAATCGCAGCAGCTGCTGACTGGTAAATGGGGATTGGGGGATTTTTACAATCTCTATGTATCCCCTAAACCAGAGGATACGTAATGATTGTGAATATAAAGCAATCATGAATGCATAACTCTCAGTTGCATGTTCAGAACTACCCAATAGGATTTTGGCCAATAATGGTAGTAACAACAGCAACATCAACTCAAGAGATTATTTTGTGCTATCATTGCAACAACCTTGTAAGATATGTTGGGCTGAGAAAGAATGATTGTCTGTTTCCAGACACAATGCAGTTGATTTTGCTAATGTAAACAGCTTGTACAAATGTTTCTTCTTAATGGCTTTTGGCTTGGATGAGTTTTGGATGAGTTTTGTCCCATGATTATCTTCTTTTGTTTAGAGAATCTAGACCAGGGTTCGGCAAGATTTACACTGGTCGCTGGTCCCCAGGTCTTCTGCTGGGCGGGGGGGGGCTGTGTGCACGCATGGCCCCTGCAGACCCCCGCCGCCACCACGTGTGCTGCCACCACGCCACCACCATGCATGTCGCAGCTGCCATTTTGGCAAATGAAATGGTGGCTGCAACTCGTTTGTGCATGCGCAGTACTCCTACGCATGCGCAAACGAGTCGCACCACCCATTTTGTTCAAAATGGCAGCTGTGGCTTGTTTATGCATGCGCAGGAGTACTGTGCATGCGCAAACGAGTAGCACCCGCCATTTTGGCAAACAAAATGGCGACCGCAACGTGCACAGCGGCGTGCGCGGTGGGGGCGGGGGGCAGCGGGGGCCGGTCGGTGGGGGGTGGCAGGCCGGGGGCACTCAGCAGGCCGTAGGTTGCCAACCCCGGATCTAGACAGTTAAGATTTTTGGTACATTATTAACATGTTATGGCCAAGATCCTATACAGCAGAGCACAAAGAAAAAATTCCCATATAAAACTAAACAAAGCTTATCACATGGCTTTTTAAATCAGCTTACCTCTTCCAATTTAAATTTTAACCTGGCTGGCAATCTGATATTATCGCAGTGATTTTGCCATTGAATCCGCCACCTGGGTCCATCCCAGGTCCATCTCCACTCCCAGGAGTACTCTGGTGGCTATTTTCTTAAGCTGGAAAACTCCCATCTTTGAAAAGAGGCATGCTGAGCACCCCTGGGAGTGGGGATGGACCCAAGTGGTGGATTCGGTGGCAAAATCACTCAATGCCAGCCGAATAAAAATTTAAATCAGAAGAGGTAAGCCAATTTGAAAAGCCGTACAATAAGCTCCTTTGTCTTTCTTCCCTCTCACCCACCCAATTCACCACTTGGCCACTGTAGTTCCCCCTGCCCCCCCAAGCTATTCAGTAATGGGAGGAGAGCAGGGAGAATTGAAGAAGCATCTGGCTGTGTACCTATAAGCAATATGTGAATGCTTACATTATCTACTGAGATCTATTGGGTTCCTCTAGAGATCTCAGCAGATGATGTCATAATTCTGTTTCTGGATACATGAACATAGCAGACACTTCTCCAATCCCACCCACTGCTCTCCTTCAGCCAGTGAATGACTGCTGAGGAGGCCTGCAGCAGCTAAACAGTTAGTCAGGG